ACAAGCTGCGGGCGGCCAAACTGGCGAAGTACTCGCTCGGTGGCATAATGCTCCACAATATCAAGGCACATCAACGGGATGGAATAGCTCCACATAATTCGGTCGGCTGAGCAATAATCGGGCAAACCAGCTATTAGCTCATCGATGTATGGCCTCCAAATGAACTATTAAGTAACAACAGAAAACGTGAGTATACGCAACACATATGAATCCAGGCCAAGTAAACTTAGGTATACATTTACCTGTGTGCCCTCCAGGAAATCCAACAAATCCCTGCACAAGGGGAGATTATGTCGAGCCTCGTACTCTCGTCCATATCCTCGTCTATCAACCCACCTCCTAGCTAGAGGGAGAAACGGAGGTGGTGCACCCGAAGCTAAGGGTGGTAGAGGTGGCTGCAACTGCAGGAACCGCTCCCGAGCCCAAACTTAATATACAAAGTGTACGTAAAATTTAAGGTATATTTTTAGTGAGTATGTTATAATGAATAGAGTATTCGACTATGTTTTCACCTGTAGCAGCAGCAAAAATCCAGCAACGTCATGCTGGGTACCCATGCTCGCAAGGCACATTTGCCTGTACAAGTAACCGAGAACAGCAGAACCCTAGCTGTATTGATGTAAATCATCTAACCACTCAAAATGATGAAGAAATCTCAAGCTGACTAGGTTCCCCGAAGGTTCAGGAACAAAACCCCTCCAAATATAAGGAGCAACAACAACCTCGTGTACCGGTGAATATGAAGCTCCAGTGTATCATCTGTGATGTCAGTGTGCAATGCCTCCAAATGCTGCCGGGCGAGCGTCAACTGTAGACGACTAGCCCCAACCAGTGCATTCTCATCCAGTGGCTGGAAACCGGTGAGTCGTTGTAGTATCTCCATGTAGTGCAAACCCGTATACTCTCTGATGGCATTCAGCAAAGCAACAGGGTGTCCATCAACGTGCAGCCCATACAGGACCTCCACGCCCTGAAGCTTGATAGTGGCTTCGCCAATGAGCAAATGGAATGTGTATGTCTCCGGTCTCCACCGCTCTATCAGGGTCGTGATCAACGACCAATCCAGTTGCAGCCGGCCGATCTCCATAATCCTATAAAAGCCTGTATCCTGGAGGCGTCTGACTATACGGGGATGGAAATGGTGGTCCTTGAGAAAGCCCCATATATCGTCTACTCTCCTGGCACGAAACGTTTGGGTTAGTAACTGCCCCTCCCATATGTGCGATGACCTATGATCGCCCTATAACAACAGTAGCTCCAGACTGGCAGGTCTGGGATGCAAAGGCGGAACCTTCATGTCGTCTACTGTAAATTAAACAATATTAATTACATTATTTTACTTTAATATGTTAGTTTTATTATTTTACATGTTAGTTTTATTATTTTATATATTTATTTGTAAATTAAATAATTAATTTTCATAATCATACAAGATTTAATTATTCAATATTCACATATGGGTTCCAGGCTCGATATTTGAGGCCCGGTAGCACCAAGATATCCTGAATTCTTGTGTTCATGATGAGAATTTTTTTTCGATTTATCACTCAACATGTCTGTTATTTTAAATGTTAGTTTATTATTTATATGTTAGTTTAATATTGTATATGTTAGTTTTATTATTATATATTTTTATTTATGACTCGCTTATTTTTGATTATAATAAAATTAAATAATTAATTTTCATAATTATATAAGATTTAATTATTAAATATTCACATATGGGTTCTGGAATCGATATTTGAGGCCCAGTAGCACCAAGGTATCCTGAAAATATTATTGTTTTCTCTTACTTAGTTGAGAAAATATTGTTATTTTCTCATGTTATTTTCTTACGATTGTTGACTAGAATTGGACAGGGTTTGTGTTTGAACTATCAGCTTTTTTGACGTATTTTTGGGTATAATAGATACTTAAATGATTAATTTTAATAACTACAAGGATACTATGCTAAAGGGAACTACATTTTACTATGCTAAAAGGGCACTACATTAGGCCATAAGATACCACTAGAGGGAACTAAAGTAACAATTTATCTATTTTACTAGTCTTTAAATAAATAAATAATCTAAACCAGATAAAAATAATAAATAAATTTAATCACAAAACATTCACGAAAATACATATACCACAGTAAAAAATAACTAATTAATATTTTTTTTAACAACTAATAATAATTACTCTATTTTTACTATTTTTTTAGCACACTAATATCATAGTCCGGATAAAAATAATAAATTAGTTAAATCGCAAAACAATCACAAAATAACATAAAACACATTAAAAATAACTAATATGCATTTTGTTATACGAGTTTAAACAAAAACTAAGTCGGAATATCTCGATTTAAGATTTTTGAAAAGTTGAAGATTTGGTGATTTGGAGTCGAAACGAGCAACCCACAACGAGATAACGCCTTAGCTAGGATGTAGGACCGAGAAGCTTTACTTTTTGAGGGACGGGTGGGCTCCACTCAAGCTTTTTTGGTCGTTAATTGGGGGTGGGGGGGAGTTCTGGTTTGGTGGGGAAGGGAAAGAGACGGTTTTTTATGTAAGTATAGCGCCTTAATAAACGAGGCTATACTTGCCCGTCTTTTCAAATTCAAGTATAACGCCCTTTTAAAGGACGTTATACATATTTTGGTCACTATGTTTTTTTGCCACATATTTCGGTCGTTTGAGTCCAAAAGAACCACATTTTGATTCCGGACTCGAAAATTCCAAACCCCATTTAGCATAGATTTGCTCATTTTTTCTGTCATCTTTGACAGCTTTCTCACACTACAACATATTGAATGACAGCTTTTAGTTCAAGCTTTTTAGACTTTTTGAAACAAGATAACAAAACCTTTTTTTCTAACTCTTGGGGAATGGTCCAAATTTACTCTTTTACTGAACAAAATATCTTAGTTTACTTTATGTGATACTTTGAGTCATTCATATGAAATATTAACGAATAATCCAGTTCTTCTGGTTTGGTCCGGTTTGTTGTTTTCTTTCTTGGTCTTTAGGAGAAATCTTGATTGAATATTGCGTATCTATCTGCTTTCTTGTTACAATCTTTGAACTCAAACTCCGGCGAACTTTCAGTGCAAACTCCGCCGTGCAAAGTGGTGGTGATCGCCGCTGGGAACTCTTCGCTCGTCTTCAATACATCGGTTTCGGTCTCATTTGCTTTGTTGAATCAATCCGATTACGTACAGTTGCTGATTTAAGGAGCAACTTTTCATTCTTGATTCCTCAGTCAAAACATCAATTGGGAAGACTTCAATTCGAGTTCTCCCTGAAGCCGCCATTATTGCTTACCCTTGTCCGTTTGCAATCCAGGTTCGACTGGTCCTCTCTTGTCTTGATATTTTATTAGTTTGATATTTTAACGTAATTGTATCTCTTTGCCTGCCTATTTTGTTCTTGAATCCTTAATTAGTATTTGCCCTAGTATTGTCAAATTAATTGCATTAGTGATAACTTTGCCTACTTGTTTATATTGTTATCTACTTGTTTACATCTTTATTTTGAATCTTTTTATTTTGGATCTTTATTGCACATTTTCTTGTGACCTTTAGTTGTAGATTATAGCCAATTTAGCTCTTGTATTGTATTTCTTCACCTATTTTTCTATTCTTTAGTTGTAGATTATAGTTCGTTTAGTTCCTTTGTTTAATTTCTTTATATGTTTGTCTCACCTTTAGTTGAGATTATAGTTCCTGTTAGTTACTTTATTTTATTTCTTCACCTGTTTTGTGACTTTTAGTGGTAGATTATATTTCGGTAATTCATTTTATTTTTGTCGCTTATTTTCGGGATAGTTCTTGTGTAGCGACTCGTAGATTATAGTGACTTTGGTGAACGATGGTAGGGTAAGGTCTTGTCCTCGGGGTTGTCAGCGCGGGAGAGGGGGTGCGGGGGGTAAGGGAGTAAGAGGGCTAAGGGAGCTACTAGGCTGAGAGTGGAGTCTTGGAACATAGGAACTTTGACTGGAAAATCTGTAGAGTTAGCGAAGATTCTCGAGAAAAGGAAGATTAATATAGCTTGTGTACAAGAGACTCGGTGGGTAGGGGATAAAGCACGAGATGTGGGCAGTTTCAAACTTTGGTATTCTGGGAGGGTGGGGGGAAGGAACGGGGTTGGTTTCTTAGTTGATAAGGACCTCCGTGAACTAGTGGTGGAGGTTAGGAGGGTGAATGATAGGCTGATGACTATTAAACTAGTTGCTGGAGGTTTTACTTTGAACATAATCAGTGCGTACGCAGCCTAAGCAGGCTTGGATAAGGAAGTCAAAAGGCGTTTCTGGGAGGATTTGGATGAGATGGGGCGTGGTATCCCGCATATTGAGAAGCTTTTCATAGGAGGAGATTTCAACAGCCACATTGGAGCGACGTTTGGGGGTTATGATGATGTGAATGGTGACCTTGGTTTTGGAGATAGAAACGGAGGAGGAACGTCTTTACTGGACTTTGCTAGAATATTTGATTTGGTGATAGCAAACTCGAGTTTCCCGAAGAAGATGGGGGCACTTGGTCACCTTCCGGAGTTCGGTGGTCGAGACTCAGACTGATTATTTACTCTGCAGGAAGTTCGATAGAGGTCTTTGCACGGATTGCAAGGTCATCCTGAGTGAGAACCTTTCGACCCTTCATAGGCTCCTGGTCATGGACCTTGAGATCACGAGGAAGAGGGCGATATATAGCCAACATAAGATCAAGTGGGGAGCCTTGACGGAAGCTAAAGCGCAGGAGTTTGGGGTCAAGCTGGTGACTATGGGGGCTTGGAGGAGTAGTGGGAACACAAGCGCTATGTGGACCACGACTGCGCAATGCATTAGGAAAGTCGTGAGAGAGGTATTAGGGGTCTCAAAGGGTTACTCTGGTGGTCACAAGGGAGACCGGTGGTGGAATGGAGAGGTGCAAGGAAACGTGGAAACCAAGAAAGCAATGTATCTGAAGCTAGTGGAAAGTGTAGACGAGGAGGAGAAGAGGGAGAATAAGGAGCATTATAAGTTGGTTAAGAAAGAGGCAAAGCTAGCAGTTACGGCGGCCAAGACTGCAGCTTTTAGTCGTTTATATGAGGGACTCGAGGGCCGAGATGGGTATAAGAGGTTGTTCAGGTTAGCCAAGGTGCGAGAAAGGAAGGCGCGTGACTTGAACCAAGTGAAGTGCATCAAGAACGAAGAAGGTAGAGTTTTGTTAGATGAGGTGCTTATCCGTCGGAGATGGCAGACCTACTTCCATAGTCTCTTGAACGAAGAGGGGGACAAGAGCATTGTACTGGGTGATTTGGAACTCTGCGAGAGTCGTTGTGACTTTGAGTATTGTAGGCAGATTAAAGTTGATGAAGTTGAGGGGGCTATGCGAAAGATGAGCAGGGGAAAATAGACCAGGCTAGATGAAATCCCGGTGGAGTTTTGGAAGAGTGCGGGGAAGGCAGGCTTTGAGTGGCTCATTGTAATGACCCGGCCGGTTGTTTTGAGTATTATAACCCTGTTTTCCCATTTAGTGCTCAATTTATGCTTTATAGTTATTTTATGACTTACCGGGTTAGTTGGTTCAGGTCCGGAAGAAATTCGAAGTGAAATGAGACACTTAGTCTCATAACTGAAAATTTTAAGTTACAAAAGTGACCGGGTGTGGACTTATGTATAAACGACCTCGGATTTGAATTTTGATAATTCTAATAGCTCCTTATGGCGATTTTGGACTTAGGAGCGTGTCCGGAAAATTATTTGGCGGTCCGTGGTTGAATTAGGCTTGAAATGCCGAAAGTTAAAATTTTGGAAAGTTTGACCCAGGGGTTGACTTTTTGATATCGGGATCGGAATCCGATTCTGAAAATTGGAATACCTCCGTTATGCCATTTATGACATGTGTGCAAAATTTGAGGTCAATCGGACGTGATTTGATAGGTTCCGGAGTCGTTTGTAGAAACTTGAAATTTCAAAGTTCATTAGGTTTGAATTGGGGTGTAATTCATGGTTTTAGCGTTGTTTGAGGTGATTCGTGGGTTCAACTAGGTTCGTATGGTGTTTTAGGACTTGATGGTTTGTTTGGTTGAGGTCTCGGAGGGCTCAGGTGAGTTGCGGGGGGTTAACGGATCATTTTTGGCCTTGGTGAGATTGCTGATATCTGTTGCTGCATTTTTTCTGATTTTCTCTTTCAAGTTTGTGAGTGGATCCTCGCGTTTGCGAAGAGTATTTTCTGAGTGTGAGGTTTTGTTCTTCGCGTTCGTGAAGGGGAGGACGCGAACGCGAACGCGAAGGTATGGTCTGTGTGTGCATCGCGAATTCGCGAAGAGGAGTGAGGCTATTGGGGACCCCAGGTCCTTGTTCTACGCGTTCGCGAGGTGGTGGTCGCGTTCGCGAAGGTTTGAGATGGTAAAGCTTCGCATTCGCAAAGTCGTGGTCGCGTTCGCGAAGGGTAAGATTTGTAAATCTTCGCTTTCGCGAAGGATTAAATTTGTGGGCAGTCGAGTTGTTCTTCGCGAACGCGAGGGATATGTCGCGTTTGCGAAGAAGAGAGGTCTGGACAGAAAGTTTAGGTTAAGAAAATGGGACTTCGTCCCATTTTCCATTTTGAACGATTTGGAGCTCGGATTGAGGCGATTTTGGAGAGATTTTCAGAGAAAACAATGGAGTAAGTGTTCTTAACTCAATATTGGTCAAATTACCCGAATCCATGTTTGTTTTTAACATTTAATTGGTGAATTAAGTTGAAAAATTGTGAAAACCCTCTTGGTTTAATTTGGAGATTTGAGGGTCGAGTTGATGTCAGATTTGAGTAAAATTTGTATGGTTGGACTCGTGGTTGAATGGGAGTTCATATTTTTTAACTTTTATCGGGTTCCGAGACGTGGGCCCCACGAGCGATTTTTGAGCTAAATTTCGGATTTTTTTGGAAAATTAGTATTTTTTTATGGAATTAATTCCAATAAATTTTATTGACTGAAACGAATTATTTGTGACTAGATTCGAGGTTTTCGGAGACCAATTCTCGTGGCGAGGGCATAGCGGAATAAAGAATTACGCGATTTGAGGTAAGTAACAGTTTTTAAATCTAATACTGAGGGTATGAAACCCCGGATTATTGAATTATGTGAGTATTCTGGAGGTGACACACATGCTAGGTGACGGGCGTGTAGGCGTGCACCGTAGGAATTGGGACTTGGTCCATTCCGTGAAACTGTAAAGTTGTATAACTTGTTGCTAGCTATATGCTCTCTCTGTGTTGTAGAGATTTGATCGTAAATTATGTTATAAACCACGTTTAGGCTACATGTTGGTACTGTTGGGACCCACAGAGCTCGTGTACATGTTGAACTATCCGCTTAATTGTTGTTTTGTACTCAATCACAATTTACTTGTTTATTTTATCGTAGTCTCTATTGTTCATTATTGATGCATCATATCATTGTTGTTTGGGCCGATTTCATGATTATTGAGAGCCCGAGAGACTGGAGAGATTTGTGACTGAGTGAGGCCGAGTGCCTGATTGTATGATATTATATTATAGCACGTGAGTTGTCCGTGCGGGATATTATAGCACGTGAGTTGTCCGTGCGGGATATTATAGCACGTGAGTTATCCGTGCAACACGTGAGTTGGTCGTGCGGATCCAGATATTGATATTATAGCATGTGAGTTATCCGTGCAGCACATGAGTTGGCCGTGCGGATCCAGATATTGATATTATAGCATGTGAGTTATCCGTGCAGCACATGAGTTGGCCGTGCGGATCCAGATATTGATACTATAGCACAGGAGTTGTTCGTGTATCACGTAAGTTGACCGTGCAGATTATAGCGCTTGGGCTGTAGGAGCTCCTCCGGAGTCTGTACACCCCTAGTGAGCGCGGGTACCCATTGAGTGTGAGTGCTGGGAGCCTAGTGAGTCATTGTTGTCATGAGAGGCTGTACTTGTATTTTATTTGATGTTGCACTTAGTTGCTATCTGTCATTGTTGTGAAATTTTCTGAAAGATTTTTATATCCGGAATACATGAACTTGAACTGTATAGAATTGATTTGAATTAAAGTGCTGGATTTGAAAGCATGTCTATTCTTTGCTAGAATTACTAGAAAATGAACTATAACTGTGTAGCTCGTCACTATCTTAAGTTCCTTATTTATTATTGTTACTTGCTGAGTTGGCTATACTCATATTACACCCTGCGCTTCGTGTGCAGATCCAGTTGTTCCCGGACATAGAGGGTGTTGATTCTTTCGCACAACTGATTTTATGGAGATTCTGAGGTAGCTGCCGTGTTTTCGTAGACCTTGCCTCTCCTTCCCTATCTCCTTGTTTACTGTATTTGGTCTCAGACTATTATAGACCGTATTTTCGAGACTTGTATTCATAATAGAATGCTCATGTACTCAGTGACACCAGGTTTTGGGGAGTGTTCGTATCAACATTTGTGGGATTTTTGTATTGTAGTTTCAAACTTAAAGAGAAATTGTGGTTTATGCAGATTATTGGCTTGCCTAGTATTGAGATAGGTGCCATCACGATATATTGGGATTTTGGGTCATGATAAGTTGGTATCAGAGCTTTAGGTGACATAGGTCTCACGAGTCATGAACGGGTTTAGTAGAGTCTTGCGTGTCACGCCCCAAACTCGGGGAGGGCGACCGGCGCTCAACCGAGAGAACCCGGCCGAGCAAGCATGTTAGATTTCCTTCTACCCAAACTCATCCATGAATAAAGAGGAGAGATACTTCATTAATCAAATATTGAAAAGATTTTATTAACAACTTTCTTTTTATTCCCATTAGCAGCTTTATCCATAATTTCCAAAATATTACGAGTTTATAGAATTAATGAAAAATATGATTTCCAAATACCAACATTTCTAGTTCATTTTCCAACTTCAACCACAGCCCACAACCTGTCTACGGAGCCTTTAAGTACAATAGAAGAGTAATATGGAAATGCCGGAAACAAGGCGTAGGCTATACCTCAAAATACAGTACATGAAAAACAAAAGATACATGACCCCGAATTAAAGTGGGGCTCACCAAATTAACTAAAAAGAGTGCACTGCTATCACTAATCAATGTTGCCTACTGTAGAACCACCTGCATCCATTAAAGATGCAGCGCCCCCGGCAAAAAGGGCGTTAGTACTGTCGAATAACACTAGTATGCATAGCTAAAAGTCCTCTTTCAAAATAGAATGCCCATATAAGAAAAGGCAATACATAAAAACAACAAGTCATAATCAACAATATCCAAATGTTCAGTTAAAACATAATAATTTTCAAAATACGAACTTCATATACAATTTTTGTTGGGAGATCATTAGCACCGATATACCACCGTCTTTGTTAGCACGGAGTTCGATCATGCTAGATCGGCTAGGACATCTCCCCACGAACAATTTGGTTTGACATGTGATGCGAAAGAAAGTTGTTACTAAGAGTAGTACCACCATGTGCGCAATATGGCGTCTGATCTCCACCCGATCAGCTAGGTCACCTTCCCACATATGCCATGTGGGTTGACTTTTCCAATCCACAAAAGGTTCCAGTTTCATCCCAATTAAGGGGAATAATATCACAATTTCCCAAAGGTTCCAATTTTATCCCAAATAAGGGGAATAATCCCAATCCACCCCTACACCGGCACGTGTAGTTTCAGGTGTGGGCCTTATGACCCACCCTTCCTTGGTTTTGCTAATGATGCTCCCAAAAATATTTTTGATTTGATTTGCACACAGAAGTAACATAAATACAATTGTACTCACCTTAACATCTTTCACATTATATAAGTTCTCATTAGTATTTCCAGTCATTCACAACGACAATATTTTCTTGGCTCATTTGGCCATTCACAAGATTCTTTATTCCAGGTACAATAGCCGTATTTCATATTCCACACTTTCACCTCTTTCAATTTCAAAGATCACCATCAAATATCAACATATATAATATTTCAGAAATCATATACTTCAAATTCATTTGAAATGGGAACTTCAAACATAAATGGTTTCTTCCCAAAGAATGAGGCATACCAACCAACAATAGAAACACACATGAAAAATCATAAATAATCAATACACCCTTTATTCTTGCAATACTCTTCCCTAGTAATGACAATGTATAATTTCAACACATGAGTATATAGAACTTGAATCACACTGGATATTTTTATAAAGCAAAGCATTAAAGTAGCCACTAATGGGCAAGAATTGAGTACAAAAGCTCTAAGGCAAATTCTATTTTCGAAGTCATTTTAAACATTTGAGTCGAGGCTCATTTTATAGTCTTTATCATATATTCTCATTTCATTAGCACCACTAGCCACAACTATAACCTTCATTCTTGGCATGTTGGCTACACTCTATATCCCCAATTCACTTATTTAACTTCCAACCATCTTTATAG